ATGGGTTTGTGAGGCAGTAGTTCCACTGCAGGAGAGGCAATCCGGAAGGACCTCAGGCTGTTTTCCTCCCCCACAAAAAGTGCTCAGCTCCTACAGTGTGGGTGTCACTCAGAGAGAAGCTTGACATTGTTTCCCCCCCTGCCCCCAATTTGAGGGAAAGGAAGATTTTTGCCTTGAGGGAAAGGAATTTAAGAAAGCAGCTCCTAATCTCATCCCAAATGAACTAATTTCACTTGCAACAGAGGCTGGATAAATTCAAGTCTAAGAGTAATCTCAAGAACACTGTAGGTTTGGTGAAATGCAATTCAGTGGAGATTCAAGACAGAGGTTAAACTATAGGCCAACTAGTTTTCAAGAGAGAACAAGGAAATAAGACAGCTGAGAGGAGGTCACTGGGGATCAGAATAAATACTAAACACTGATCTCAGGAACTGTTTCTTCCAAGGAGCCAGAATTATGGAATTTGTAAAGCAATATATGCTCCAGAGAATTATTGAAAATAATAGAGCAATCAACTAGAAATTAGTGGAGTTCAAAAGCTGGGTATGGTCAGAGAAATACAGGAGGAGAACCTTGACAAAACACCACTGTAATTGCAGGGTGACTGCTATGGGTCAAATGTTTCCCCCAAAAGTTTGTGTGTTGAAAACTTGTCCCCACTGTAACAGTATTAAGAGGGTGGGAAATCTGGTTATAATATTTAAAAGTGAGGCCTTTGAGAGGTGATTGGATCACAAAATCAATCCAATCATAGAGTAATGAGTTGATGGTTTAATGGGTTGGTATGCATGTGGTCCTGATGGCTTTATAAGGAAAGCATGAAAAGAAGGTTAGCTCTCTCTCGCTCACGTGATCCTCACCATGTTACACCATGCATTGTCACCAAGAAGAAGGTCCTTACCAGATGTGACAAGGGGCAGTAAGCAAAGTTGCCACAATATATGATCTGATATGTCTAGTCTCCAACAATAACTTACAAGGTATACAAAGAAATATGGAAAATATGACCTATACACCAGAAAAAAGCAGGCAACAAAAACTGCCTGTGAGAGTACCAGACATCTATTTTTTTAAAAACAGACTTCAAAGTAGCCATGATAGACAGGGCCACAGAACCAAAGGAAACAATGATTAAAGAAGTAACAGAACGATAACAATGTGATAGCAAATAGTGAATATAAATAAATATAAGCTGAAAAAACACAAATGGAAATTCTAGAGTGGAAAAGTACAATAACTTAAAATTTTAAAAACATCACTAGCAGGGATCAATAGTAAATTTGAACTGGCAGAAGAGAGAATAATTGAAGATAAATGGTGAAAATTATGCAATCAAAGATCAAAGAGGAAAAAGAAAGAAAAATGAATACAGCCTCAGACAATTTTGGAACACCATTAAATGAACCAAGAACACATAATGGGAGTACTGGAAATAAAGAGAAGAAAAAGGAGACTTCAATATCCCACTATCAATAATGGACACAACCACTAGACAGATGATCAACAAGAAAAAAGAAGGCTTATACAATACTATAAACCAACTAGACCAAAGATAGAGCTATAGAAGACTCTAACAACAACAGAATACACATTTTTCTCAAGTGCACATGAATAATTTTCCAGGATGCTAGGCCATAAAAGAAACCTTAGTAAATTTAAAGCCTAAAATAATACAAAGAATACCACAATGGAATGAAATTACAAATCAATAACTGGAAAAATTTGGAAACATAAATGTGTGGAAATTAAATAACATAATCCCAAATAACACGTGGGACAATGAATAAATCACAAGAGAAATCATAGAATACTTTGATATTGATAAAAATAAAGATACAGCATACCAAAACTTATAGGATGCAGCTAAAGCAGTCTTAGAGGGAAATTTACAGCTGCAAATACCTATATTGGGAAAGAGGAAAGATGTCAAACCAATAACCTAATAGTCTACCTTAAGACTATGGAAAAAGTAGAGCAAACTAAATTTAAAGATAGCAAAGGAGGAAATAATAATGATTAGAGAAGAAATTAACAAAATAGAGAACAGAAAAACACTAGAGATAATCAATGAAATCAAAAGATCTTTCTTTTATAAAATTAACAATATTAAAAAACATTTAGCTAGATTGACCAAGAAAAATAGAAAGAAGGCTCAAATTATTAGAATCAGGAAACGGGAGGGGGACACTAGTACTGATCTTTTAGAAATAAAAATTATAAGGGAATACTATGAACAATTTTCCAAGAAATTAGCTTACATGAAATTGTCAAATTCCTAGAAAGACACACAAAAAAACCAAAACTGACTCAAGAAGAAATAGACATTATGGCTAGACCCATAACAAATGAAGAGATTGAATCAGTAATCAAAAACCTACTCGCAGCTGGCTTTACCACTGAATCCTATCAAAGTCAAAGATAAATTAACATCAGTTCTTCACAAAGCTTTCCAAAAAACAGAGGAGGAGGGTACACTTCCCAACCCATTTCATGAAGCCTGTATTACCCTGATACAACACCAAAGACATCACAGGAAAAGAAAACAGACCAAAGTATTTTATGAATATGGATGCAAAAATTCTCAACAAAATACTAGCAAACAGAATCCAGCAATCTATAAAAAGTATTATATACCATAATCAAGTGGGTTTTATCCTAGGCAAGCGAAATTGAGTTACTATCAAAAAAACAATAAAAAACAAAAGTCACATGATCATCTCAATAGATGCAGAAAAAGCATTTGATATAATCCAACACCTTTTCATGTAAAAGCATTCAACAAACTAGGAGTACAAGAAAACTTCCTAGATCTGATAAAAGGCATCTATGAAAAACCCACAGCTAACATCATACTTAATGGTGAAAGACTGGATGCTTTTCCACAAAGAATAGGAACAAGACAAGGACATTCACTCTCACATTTTCCATTCAACATTCTATTGAGGTTCTATCCAGAGGAATTAGGCAAGAGAAAGAAATCAAAGGCATTGAGATTAAAAAGAAACTACTTCTATTCATAGATAACATAAGCTTGTTTATAGAAAATACCAAGGAATATCTAAGAAATTATTCAACTAACAAATTAGTTCAGCAAGGTAGAAGGATACAAGATCAATATACAAAAATTAGTTGTATTCCTATACACATGCAATGAACTAAAAGTTAAGAAAACAATTCCATCTGCAATAACATAAAAAAATAAAATACTTAGGAATAAATGTAAGAAAAGACATGCATAACTTCTACTCAGAAGATTACAAAACATCATGAAAAGAAATGAAAGAAGGTCCAAATACTTGGAAAGAAATCCCATGTTAATTTATCAAAAGACTTCATATTTTTAAGATGGCAATACTCCCATTCTGGTGTACAGATTCAATTTTTTTCAGAATACAGCTGACGTCTGCGTAAAAATCCACATCCTTATTCTAAAATTCATATGGAATTGCAAGGTACTGAGAAAAGCCAAAACAATCCTGAAAAATAAGACTCAAGTAGGGAGACTAACTCTTCCTAATTTCAAAAATCAAGACAGTGTGGCACTGGCACATAGGTGGACATATAGATCAATGGGATAGAATTGATAGTTCAGAAATAAATCCATGTCTATGGACAACCGATTTTCATCAAAGGCGCAAATACCATTAAATAGAGAAAAGCAGTCTTTTCAACAAATGGTGCTGAGACAACTAGATGTTAACATGCAAAAGAACGAAGCTGGACCCTTGACTCACATTATGTATAAAAGTTAATTAAAGTAGATCAGAGACCTCAATCGAAGAGCAAAAGCTAGGAAACTCTTAGAAGAAAACATAAGGGTAAATCTTCGTTACCTTGGATTTGGCAAAGGATTTTAGATATGACACCAAAAGCTCAAGCAACAACAATAAAAAAAGAAAAATTGGACTTCATCAAAATGAACCACTTTTTGTACTTTTAGAGGAAACCATCGAGAAAGTGAAAAGACAACCTACAGATTGGGAGAAAACATTTGCAATTCATATATATGAAAAGGGACTTGTACCTCAGAAAATATAAAGAACTCTTAAAACTCAATAATAAAAAGACAAATGATCCAATTAAAACAAGGGCAAAGGATCTGAATAGACATTTCCCCAAAGAAAATATGCAAATGGACAATAAGCACATAAAACAATGCTTAATATCATTAGCCATTAGGAAAATGTAAATCAAAGCCATAATGAGATAACCACTTCACACCCACTAGTATGTCTAGAATCAAAAAGTCAGATAACAAGTGTTGACAAGTATGTAGAGAAATCAGAACCCTCATACATTGCTGGTGTGAACATAAAATGGTGCAGGTTTTCCAAAAATCCTTTGGAAAACAAGCTGGCATTTCCTTAAATTATTAAACATAGATTTGCTACATGACCCAGCAATTCTACTCCACGGTATACACTCAAAAGAAATGAAAACACACGTCTGTCCACAAAAAACAAACAAACAAACAAAAACTTGTACATGTGTGTTTATAAGAACATTATTCATGAATGCCAGAAGATGAAACAATCCAAATATCAGTCAGTGGACAAATGGATAAAGTGTGGTTTATCCATACATGGAATATTATTCAGTCATAAAAATGAATTATATACTGAAACACGGATGAACTGTGAAAACATTATGCCAAGTGAAAAAAGCTAGTCACAAAAGACCACATAGTATATGATTCCTTTCATATGAAATGTCAGTACAAGGAAATCAACAGAGTCAGAAAGTAGATTAGTGGCTATTTAGGGCTGGGGGTAGGGTGGTGGCAGAGAATGGAGGATAGCAGAATGATAACTAAAGGAGATGGACTTTTTTTGAGGTTATGAAATGCTCTAAAGTTGACTGTGGTGATGGTTGCCCATATCTATGAATACACTGAAAATCACTGAACTGTACACATTAAAATGGTGAATTGTATGATATGTGAGTTGTGTTGCAATAAAGCTTTAAAAAATTATCTCAAAAGGAAAGAGAGCTATGGGAACTTACGAGCCAGAATCCACATCCATGCACTGTGGAACACCACCAATAATGTTTAACACTGCATCCAACTGAGATTTCATTTCCTTAAGTTTTTCATTAACTACCTCCCATTCTTCAGGAGGTATATCAGGAATCTCCAGAAAGTTTTCCAGCTTGAAAGAACAGAACTCAATAGAACTAATCAAACTTGGAAGAATTTTCGAGGTACCTAAAAAAGTAAGAAAAGCATTAATTTTTAGAAGTATTTGTCTGACTACTACTTCAATAGTAAATTATAAAATCCTACTGGGCAAGAGCATATCTTTTTTCATGTTTTTATTATCCTACAGCTGGCTTAGCAGAGAACCTTGCAGAGAGTTAGTTGCTAAATACAAGTGTACCTTAAAAAGTTAATGGGAAGATTATCTTTTAATTCCATTTTTCTACGAACATTTTGAAGTATCCTCATAAATGTTTACTGAATAAACACTTGTAATCGGTGCTTTTATGACTAATGTACTATTTCTTCAATGACAGTTTATATTCCAAGTTTCTTGACTTCTCAGCTAAGAACCAAATGCATTAATCCCAGAAACTATCAACTACAATTTTCTGTAAAAGGCATTAATTCACTATGTCATTAATGATAATGGTGAGGATAATGATGATAAACAGCTTTTTCATGATTATAGGATAATTAATTACAGAAATCAAAATAGATATCATAGTTCTTGAGTCATTTACTAGGTCATCAATCAGGTTTTCATGAAGTGTACAGTTTTTGATCTGAACAAAGGTCAAGTTTGGATCCTAATGTGGGTCCAATGGACTGATTCGCTGTGAGATCATGGCAAAATACTCTGTTTTTCTCATTTGCAAAATAAGAAATGAAAATGCTCCACTCAGAGTTATATAAAGAGAAATAATTAAAAAGCAAACCATTTTTCTTTTCCTTGATGAAAATATTTTCATTGCCTTCATCAGTAAACTTCGATCTTTTATAAGTATTCACCACTATTCATCATTTTGACTTCCTCCTTTATTTTAAACCATTTACTACCTCATTTTTCTCTGCTTTCTACATATTCTCATAGGTAAGCACTGCCATTTTATCTGTAACTATATTATTGCTGCTACAGAAAATTAAGATTGTGTTCCCCCATGTACAGTAGTTTTATACTGAACAACAGTGTCAGTCAATGGGTCAGGGTTACGTGGGATACTTTACTGGGAAAGAATCTTAAGGAACTCATGATACAGTGAATAAAAGTACTTTGATGGATTTTTAATTCCTCTCATAGGTTTGGGAGGATATATTTTTAATATCTCTCATGGAAAACCGGGATATTAGGCCACTACTGGGGAGATACAAAATTGAAGCTCAGAACCTGCTAAGGAACAGAGGCCCTGGTAAACACATCAGGCTTTCTCTTGGGACCCCTGAATCCCTGAAGCACTACATCTTAAGAATAAGGGTAGAACAGAAATAGACCAGCTCTGACAAAGCCTGAAGCCAGACTTCATTTTGGTTTAGTCACTGCTTAGAATAAGGTGACCTGCCCCTCTCTAAATGATCTGCCAGAAGAAGTAAAAATCATTCTCGTGGAATTACAGCATCATCTAGAGTCTCAAATTTTCACTAGAACCTTTCACACACAATGTCCAACATTTAATCAGAAATAGGCATATGAAAAAAACTGACTCAAACCAATTATCAGACATGGACTTTAAAATTAACTGTGATTAAAAATTTTAAGTTATTAAATGACAAGATGGAAAATTTCAGCAGAGAACTAGAAATTCTAAAAGTTAATACATTCTAGGACTGAAAAATAATTAAAATTAAGAATTCAGTGGATGTTTAACAGCAGATTAGATAAAGCACTGGAAAAAAAAGTTGCTGCCAAATTAGAATTCCTATACACAGATAAAATAGCCTTTAAACAAAAAAGGAAAATAAAAACTAAAGAAATCATCAACAAACCCATCACTATAGGAAATGCCAAGAGAGTTCTTCAGGGAAAAAGAAAATTATATCACATAGACACAGGCAAATGGAGGAAGGCAGCCATATGGGAATAAATAATAATTCTCCAAATCTACAAATGGTTAAGACTGGTTATTCTTTGGCCACAGACTCAAGCCATGAACAATTAATCACAAAAACAATTTTAAACCCCACTCAATTAATCATGGACAGCTTCTCATGAGGACTCTTGCCTCTGAGAATCAGCCCATCTAAGTAAGTCACTTTCAAATCTCATGTATTTTCTTTTGACTGTCCCTTGAGTGACAATTTTATGATTTTACAGCTGCAGATAATACTTCGTTGTTATTAAGTCCTAATTTTATTTATTTTTCTATGCGTACACACATTTGATTTTACACGAAGGCATGAATTCGTTGCATTATATAAATTTCCTTCAGAGCTTTTTTCCCCTTTTGCTTGTTGGTGCAGCTTCCTCTCTAAGTTTATCCTAAGTTTACCCCTTCCCAGCCCTGACCCTAGCCCCACTTGCTTCACCAGGAAACACAAATAAGAAATGTGACGTACCCTTTCTCTATTTTGTCTCTAAGCCTGTGAGGTTGTATATAGAATACATAATATAATATTACATAGTATAAGCAGATGTATATGCATGTACGAAATGGATAGTCATGATTTCTTTTAAAAGAACACAGATTATCTCAACATCACAAATCATCAAAAAAATACAAGTCAAAACCATAGTGGGATATCACCTCACACCCATTAGGATGACTACTATCAAAGAAACAAGAAATGGCTAGTGTTGGCGAGAATGTGGAGAGGTGGAGGCCTTATACGCTATTGGTAAGAAAGTGAAGAGGTGCCTCGAAGGTGGTTCCAGGCAGTGGTGCCTAGAAGGCAGTGTGGCAGTTCCTCAAAAAATTAAAAATAGATGTGATCCAGCAATCCCACTTCTGAGTATATGGCCAAAAGAACTGAAAGCAATATTTGTACACCCATATTCATATTGTACAATCATGATTTAAAAAAATTTTCAACTGTGGTATTATATTTAGGCTTTTTCTTCAGAAACTACTATATTTTTAACAAAACAATTTCAGTATCTCTTATATGACCATATAGTATTTTTCTCTTTTAATATTCTCATGAAATATGTTAATCAATTTCCTAATGGTGAATCACTCGTGTGTTCCTGGAATATAAACTACTTGGTTAAAGTGTTTTGTTTCGCTTTGAATCTTTGATACATTATACTTATTATTATTTTATTTAGAATTTTTGTACGCACAGTCATAAATGAGAGAGAATCTATGGGTTTATTTGTACTATATTATGTTTTGATATTATAGTTACTCTGGGATCATAAAACAAATTGGAGAGGTTTTCATATTGTTCTAAGGCCTTGAGTGGGTTAAGAAACTCGAAATTATATGTTTTTTAAAGTTTAAATGAAATTTAGCTGTAACACTGGGGAAAAAAAATAAAAGAAAAGCAAATCAGCCCATGATAGTTCCTCACTTCAGGATGTCAACCACTTAGCAACAATCTTACCCTAGTGACCACACTACCGAAAGTTAGCCAGTTAACAACAGTATCTCCAAAAACAAGTCTTCAATGGCTGAAAGTAAACCAATCTCTAGATATTCTTGTTTCTTAGTTTTTCAGTCTCTAAACTCAATGCTTCCAAAAACCCTATATGTAAATACCTCTTAATTTGTTCAGAGAAGCTGTGCTTTCTTTTACAGCTCTCCCCTCCTTAGCAAACAAAAATTCAGCTTTCTTACAGCTACTGTATTTGAATAGCTGTGTTTTCCTTAGACAAGTAGAAAATGTGAATATAGGGTTAATCTAAATGAACATTGACTATAAAATAATAATCATGTCTGTTGAGATTTAAATACATGGAAACAATCAAACAGAATACACAAATACACAAACAAAAATAATACAAAAGACAAGGGGAAGCCAAACTAAGAACAAAATAAAGTTTGAACTGTCTGGAAAGTAAGTACTACATCTTCTAAATAATCCTGAGTCAAAGGGAAACCACAGTGGAAATTTAAAAATGTATTTTTTTTTTTTTGTCTTTTTCCGTGTCCAGCAATGGATCGCAACCCTCAGTGTTGCCCCCGTACCGGACCGGGGACCAGCAACGGGATTGCAAGCCTCGGTGTTGCTCCCGCGCCTCGCTCAGCCAGTGAGCAGGAACCGGTCTGTATGTGGGATCCGAACCCTCGGGCGGGAGCGCCGCCACACTTCCCAAGCGGCGCACTATCCAGTGCGCCACCAGGCCGGCCCCTAAAAATGTATTTTAAATTTAGTAATAAAAATAGTACATACCAAAACAGGTGGAATGCAGCCAAAGCTGGCCTCTTGTGACCCCATTCTGTTGGGTTTCCTTCTACCTCTGCTGTTCCTCTATATCTAGTCACCCTTTAAAATGCTGGGGAGACATTCTTAGCCCTCAGCTAATCCCATTCTATACATTTTCCAAGGTGACATCATCAAAATTCATGGCCGTAACTAACACGTGTACTAACATCTCTCAAATTTTTATCCAAGATTTCTCCCCCACATTCCTGACATGCCTGCTGAACAAGTCTACTTCATTGTTCCACAGCTACTTCAAAGTCAATATGTCTAATACTGAATATATAATCTTCTCCTCCCCACAATTTGTCCTCCTCCTATATTCCTTAATCTCAATGAATTGAATGATCCATTTACAGTGAAAATCAGGAACATGGTCATCCTGCAGTAGTCTCTCTTTATCTCCTACATCCTCCATGCAGTGGATTAAATGTCCCCACCCAAACTCGTCAAACCTTAATCCCCACTGTAACTGTTGAGAGTGGAAAATCCTATTATGGTAGTTGAAAGGTGGGGCTTTGGAGAGGTGATTGGACTGTGAGGACTGTACCCTCTTGAATGGACTGATACACCCTTGGAATAGCAGGCATGGTTCTAAGGGCTTTAAAAGGAGAATGCATGAGGATCTCTCTCTCTCTCTCTCTCTCTCTCTCTCTCTCTCTCTGCTCTGCCATGTGAGACACCTGCATTGCTGTAAAGCCACCACCAAAGAAGACCCTCACCAGATGGATTACTTGGACTTTGGACTTCCCAACTTCTGAAACTGCAAGCAATAAATTTCATTTTCTTATAAATCACCCAGTTCCAGGTATTCTTATAAGCAACAGAAATGAACTAATACACTCCACATCATTAAATTTGTATAGCAC